TTGCTAATCAATTCCTGTGATCAGTTGTAATACGGCCCTGCGTTGCACGTACATACGCAGAGATCTGTAAAGAGAGCCATCGGCTCCAAGGTACAGGCCTTCCCCTGTTGAAGTCAGAGGTCTGTAAGACTCAGCTAGCTACTAGAAGAGGTCATGAGGATTCATCCACCACGCCCCACAAAAATTAATGGAGATGTTGATGATTTTCTTGTTTTCTGAATGCCTTCTGGTGTCCCCTTTTGGGTTTGAGATAGCTGCCCATGGCCACCACTTTTCAGAAGTTGCACTGCAGCTGTTACAGGGAGATCAGCATCTCTGGTTTTTGACCAAAGTCACTTTCTGGATTTGCATGTAAAACTAAAAAGACATTAGGGATTTTATTTTGGCGCTGCTCTTGCACTGCAAGCTTACGTCGGGTGTTTGCCTACCCTCAGTCTTGGTATTTGTTTCCCAACTCTTATCACCCACTAAGTATGTTTTTGCGTTTGGGTTTTGGGGTTTTTTTCCTCCGCTGCATTGGTACCTGTTTTTTAAAAGTCTTTCAAGCCAATTAGACCTACTCTATCATTCTGTAGTAGTAACAGCAAAATGCATTTTTCTTTAACAGGAGGTGTCACTGATGGAGTCTGATGAAACCAGCGAGGGAGGTACCACGTCCCCAGAAGCCAGCAGTGCCACGGGGGAAGCCTGGGCTTCTGCAGCAGTTGAAAGAGGGCATCATGCCCCTCACACATCAGCCAAAATGAGCACCAGCCCGCCTGACTCTGCGAAGGGAGCAGAGTTCGGCCCTCCCGAGGACTGCCTTTCTGCTCCAGGGGAAGCAGCAGAGATGCTGGGCAAACCCTCTAACCCTGTGCAAAAAGTGCCAGCAGGACTGGAACAAGAACGCGGTGATGCAGAGCCTCAAAAGGGACTCTCACAACGGGAAGGAGAAATGCTTTTAGAGGAGGGTGGACTAGACTGTTCTCTGAAAGTAGAGCTGGTTGACCTGGAGAACAACCAGGACTCTTCTCTCAGCACAGTCCAGGATGAGCCAGCCCCTGGCAACACCATCCTGGAGGCTGTGGACCTCAGCACTGAGTTTCCTCAGTGCCAGTCAGAACTGACTTTTCATGGCACAGACCCACAGGCCCAGCATCCAAATTACCCTTTGGCTGATGCCGTTTCCTCACAGAGACAGACACCCAAGTGCTTCTTGGTGTGTAAAACTGTTTCAGAGGGGCATTATAAGGCTGAGCCGTTTCTGGATAAGGTCTCCATGGATTTTGTGCAGGAGGTTGATGCTAGTGCAGAGCAAAAGCAAAGCAGCAAAAAAGTGGCACCAGCAACTGATGAGCAGCCTACCTCAGAGGAGGCAGTGGAGGACATGGCTAAGCCTTACGCTTCTGAAGATGCTAAGGAAAGCATAAGAGCGTTCCAGGGTTTGGAAGAGAATACAAAGTCTTCCTCATCCGATCAGTTGTCTTCCACCTTAACAGATGACAGCCAAATAAGTTCACTACGAACAGAAGGAAACATCTCAGCTGCTGAAACAAGGAATAGCAGCATGGTCAAAGACCAGGGAACAGTAATGGTTACTGAAGAAAACTCATCCGCGTCCAAATGCCTTCATCTCAAAGATGGTGACAGAAAAGCAGAGGGCAGACCTCCCTTTCCAGCAGAGTGCTCCTCTCAGGTGAAGAAAACTACTAAAAAAATTGAGGAAGTGACTACTTCCCAGCATAAGGAACCAGCGCAGGAGGAGACAGTGTCTG